CCCCAAAACCCCAAAACCCCAAAACCCCAAAACCCCAAAACCCCATTGCCATAAATATAAATATATGAAGTAATTCACTGAATAAATGAGTAGTGAAATTAATAAAATTACAATATTATTTTATATGCCCAAAGGAGAGGATCTTCAAATATTTTACGCTTTTTGCTAGAAAAAGTAATTTTTTAGTTGTAATCATTTAGAGCTCGGTGTGCAGCGAAATTCGTTCTGAAATGCTGGCTATTTTCTATGATTATTGTTCTTGAGCTTTTCCTATAATTTGGACTTTTGTTAGTCCTGTTAGGACTTTGCTTATGGGTATTAATTTTAATAATATTAACGAGTCCTCTGTGGATCCCGTTGTCAATATTATGGGCTCCTGCAGCGATTATAACATTTGCAGCTTTCAGATACACATGCGTAAATTTATTTAAATTTCATTGTTAGCTAGGAGATAAAGTGTTCCTAGTTGTAGAGCATCTAATATATCATCTAATCTATCAATCAACCTGGCCTAGAAAACTAATATGGAAATTTTTCTACAATTCCTTCTCATGGTAAATTGCAATCTCAATTTCATTATTTACGTTCATTCATTTTTCTCATTTATAATTTAGGTATTTAAAAAATGAGAATTACTTCAGAAGCCATAACTGCGGCTACGCAATATTAACTCAGACAGGAGAGACGCTTAAATTAGTGGCAAAGTAAGACATAAAAAATCAGTACTAAAACTAGATGTATCACTACGCTGCACTAGGTAAGTAAAGTCTCTTATTAATTCAAATAAATAAATTTTCCCAATCATTATTACTAATTGATCTCTTCAATTCAAAAATAGGCATCAGGAATCTCGATGATTTGCAAGGTAAAAATGTTTTAGATCTCGCCACTGGCAGAGGAGGTGGTCTTGCATTTTTAGCTAAGTATTTTTACCCTAAAAATGCTGTTGGAATTGACATAAGTTCACATTAAATTTAATTTGCCTAGTCTCATCAAGATGAAATTGATAGTCTTTCATACTTCTAGGTAGGATAATTAATTTAGAATATTTATTAATCAATCTGTCCTTAGGGAGATGTGGAATGTCTGAATGCAGTAAATTTTGATAAAGACATTTAATACGACCTCATAACATGTATCGAGAGTCTCCATTGTTTCTCAAACCTGAGTGCCATTTTTAATGGAGTATAAAATCTGATGTAGAAAAATGGAAATTTTGTGATTGTAGACATTTTTGAGAAAAAAGAAGTAAAAAACATTGAAAAAATTATGAAGCACTTTTTCATGATTGAAAAGCGTGAGATCATCACCATCAATGTGAAACATGCTATGAATTTAGACAAACCTCGTGTTGAAAAAATGATTAGCAAGTTTATAACTGATAATGAAATTGCTAAGTAGGTAATGAGGAACATTCTCGCATCTGCCGAGGGTAGTAAAACCTATGAAGAACTGGGTAAGACTAAAGAGTACATATGCTATGTGCTCCGTCATCCTAACCCAGCAATTGATGCTACTCATTAATGCTAGAGCCCTAACGAGAAGAATATGAGGAGATATTAGGAATAGATGGCTCTTCATTCCTATCAAAATGATCCTTAAAACTAGCAGTAAAGTATGTGATAATCATTATCCTACAAATGTAGCAACTAATATCAAAGAAATTCACCCTCATGAAACTCAAAGAAGAAACATAAAATTCATTTATTTGGTCCATTCAGCTCACTTTGAATTAAAGCGAATATTTATTTGGACTAAATGTTATAAAAATAGATAAAGTAAATCTTCTTTAAGTTAATTAAAAGTTAAATATATATTATAGTTCAATTTTCAAGGATTTATTTATAGCATAGTATCGATTGTTAATAGCTTAGTATTGATATTTCTAGTAAGGTATTATTATGAACTCACATTTTCCAATCTAGAAAATCAATTTTAAATCTATTGATCTCTTTCATTTATCTCACTTTCAAACTTTTTTGTTATTGCTTAATGATATTAATCTACCTATTACATCCTCATAATTTTCTACCCTTCTTGATCGAATTGGTGATTTATCATAATTGCTACTGCTCCTAATAGAATTAATTGGACTCTTTTCACCATTTTAACGATTTATACTACTACTGCTTCCTGGACCAGAAATATTATTGTTAGAGGTTTTTTTCAAAATCTGCTGTTTATCGGTAATGATATTCATTGGACTTTTTTATCGCTGTTAAGCATTGTTATTTTGAGTCAGAGGAGTTCTAGCTCTTGGAGGTAGATTGTTCTACAATGGCTGCTAGCCGTTTCTTCGTTATTAAGCAGTTGAACTAGGATTGTCAATAATTTATCTTTAATTATTTGAACTCTACCTTGATGTCATATCCCCACTGATATTAGACAGTCTTTTGCCATTATTCGTATTTTATTAACTACTGTTTGAATTATCTCTTTTATTTTATCCTTTGGACTAATGAGGGACATTAGATAATGGAGTGGGGCTTATCACCTTGGAAAATTTAACTGGCTAATGCTGATCTTTATATGAAGTATTCTTTTGTGAGGAGTAGTTGAACAAGCCATTAGTCTTTTGTAAAGTGTTTTAAGATTATTTTTAGATGCTACTAAGAATTAAAGATTGCTGTTCAATCTATTATCTTAGGCTTTGTTTGACTGGAGTTATATTTTATTCTTTTAGATCAATTTGGCCCTAAGTAAATGATTCATTAGTACCGTTTCTCTTATATTAGCTCAAATTTATCTTAATCACATCATTATATGGATTTATATTAATATTTCTAGTGACTTTCTAGGCAGCAGTGCCCATGGAAGTAGTTTGAATGTTTTCTTGGGAAAATTGAGATGAAAATGAATTCTAAAAATTATTTGCATTTTTAGCAGAGGCATATGGGATCTAACTTGAGGTTCTACTAGTGTTAGAGGACTAGACTGGCATTATGTTAGATACTCTGCTCGTTGTTATTATGTTTGGATTTGTATTTTAGGTAGCATTAGATAATTTACTAAGATCTATAGAGAAAGTAGGTAGATCACTTTAAAGAGGAGCCTTTTATTAGTCTAGTACCACACTTTTGTTGTTGTTATTGTGGGAAATCCTCTTTTGTCTTATTTACTCTTAATTTATATTGCTCATTCTGGATGTTGTACTTTACTACTGCTAGTTAAAATAGTTTTTAGAGGTATTAGAATCAGCATTGGAACCCTTTGAAGATGGTATGATTACACTATTTTGAATATCTCTTGGTGAAAAAGTAAGCTCAGGTGTTTGCTAATTAATAAACTAGTTACTCTATCGTTTTTGAATATTTTATGATAAGTTTTGCTAATTTGATTGAAGATTATCGAAATTCTTGATTGAATTTTCATTCGCTAAACGACTTGACGATGGTATTGGAGATAGATTTGGTTTCTTTGGAGGTGAATTTTATGTTTGATATGTCTCAACTTAAGTTTAATCTGCTTTTTTTGGATTATCTGGCAAATTTCCTTGCAAATGCTAATCTATTATTGCAGCTATTACAAGATTATTGAGATTTTTGTATTCTTTAAGTGCCTTGACAAATATCTACTTGAAGGTTGAGATATTTTATATTACTAAGTTCATATCAGCTTGACAATTATTGATAAATGTCTTAAATATTTTATCAGCATATTCATCTAAAGTCTAATCTAAGATTATAGTTCCATCAAGATATTCATTAATAGATCCAATCTGGAACAATTCATTTATATAAAACTTCAGAATCTTAAACTTTTGATTTATATTCTTATCAGATGGCATACTGTTATTATTCATCTCATTCAACTACTTACAATTAGTTTCTACTATAAATAAGTCAAATTATTTGTCGTTAAGTGATGAAGCTATCGACTAGGCTTTAGTTTAGGGAAATTTTGACATCATTAATTAAATAATAGGAAACTGTTTAAACTAGCTTAATCTCTTGGCTTTAAGCCAGTATCTATTTATCTTTTATAGATTACTCTTGAGGGTCTATATCTCTGCTTCTCTTCTTAGCCTTTGAATCAAAAGGTACTACTTAAAATTTCTGAGATTAATAACTCCATTTGACTCATACATATGCTCCATTATAGCTGCTGTTTGCTTTTAAACCAGTAAAATCATATCATCTCTATTAAAGCTTTTTATTTCATTAAGTAGAAGAGCCATTAAAAAATATTGAATGCGATCACTATCTATTGAACCTCTGCATTCATCATCCAAAATAGCATACAATTTCTCAACTTCATCGATCCATTCTTGATTGATTAGAGGAATAGGCTATTCAACAGAATCTAAACCTAGGGTAATTTAATTGAAGTAATTTTGCGTTTTAATTATTTGATTGAATTCTGTTGTTAAAATATCAAGCATTTTTGGTAGATGACTTTCAATAATAGTTGCATCCTTTAGGTAGTTTTAAAGCAGTTCAAAGAGATATTACTGCTCATTAAACAAGTTCGAAAATGCTATTTTTGATGAAGTATTTAAAATGGCATTAGTTATATCTCTCTTTTTCATCCATTCTAAATATATCTATGTAAATTCAGCAGGTGTTATTGCTCCATCTAATCTCCAAATTAAAACTTTTAATAGTCCTTCCATACTATTTCTAAGACTTTTCTTGAATTTTTGCTCATCCTTTACAAGTAATTATTATTTTTCCTCATCATCTGGATAAAGCGTAAGCTCTGAGTAAAGTTGTTTGACTTAGCCTAAATTTTACAGAGATATCATATTTTGCAGTTTGTCTTAGTCAATACCCATTAATGAACTGTTATTCTAGTTAGTAAACGATAAAGAGGTGTTCTAATTTTGATTTTAACTTACCATTGAGAGGTTGGTTGATCTTTATGAAAACAAAGGACTTTGCTCCACACCTATTTTCTACATCAAACTACTATTATTCCCATATCCATTATTTATTCCTTCCTGTGACTGAATATTTCTAATGATCCTTTGTTGTGGATTATCTGGATTCAATAACTATGACACACTATTTAAATTCCCCATCATTTGATTGTTCAAGGCATTGGTTCCTGAAATATTCAGGTTTTATCCTTGATAATTAGTATTATTATTTTACTACTTATTGAAACTATCTGTTCTTTAATGATAATGATTAGACTGAATTTAAGGAGTATTCTATTGAGGATGATTATTAATTCCTATACTACTATTACTACTGTTACTAGAAAGCCCATTTGAATCCATATGGAGATTTCCAAAACTTTAAAGATGGGTGGAGAAGAGCTTGATTTAGGCATTTGATTATTAAGGATTAGAAGACAAGCCTAAAGTGTTCTACTGTTGTTGAGTATTTTTGATCTAGTTCTTCTAATTCTGATTATTCATTAAAATATTAAAATAATTATTTTCTCATATTTCTATAATATATGTTTGATGGGGTTTTGGGGTTTTGGGGTTTTGGGGTTTTGGGGTTTTGGGG